ATATCCAGGGATGAAAGCCTGGTTCCAGGGCCATCAGGGACCCAGGTTCTTCTTAAGTGACCCTTCCAACTTCCTTACCATGTAACTTCCCTTTCAGAATTGCATTATGGTTACGTGATGGCTGCTGGAGACCCAGCTCTCATGTCTATGTTCCAGGCAGCAGAAAGGAAAAAGAGCCTTTCAGCTGACTCAGTCCCATGTAAAGAGCTTCTTTGGTCTTGAACTCCTGGCCTCAAGTGATCCTCCCAGTTCAGCCTTCCAAAGTGCTGGGATTACAGCCCTGAGCCACCATGCCTCACAGTTTCGTTGAAAGCCCAAACCAAAAATCTTCAGCTTATACCTCTTTAACCACCCATCTGCAAGAGGGGCTGGGAAATATGTTTTATCAAATTCCATTGCCACCCTCGATAATATGGGATTCCACCGGCAAGAAAGGAGAGAACAATCAGGTAGCCAACCAGCTCTTCCCACCTCACCCTCCATGCTCTCTCCCAGCTGTGCCACAGCTCTCATCAGAGGCAGAGGACAGACCAAGGGGAAAGAACTTGCAAGGGAGAAAAGGCTGTGTGTATGTGTTCATATGTGCATATGCATGTGTGTGGCCTCACTGAGGCCTGACTCACAAATACCTTGATGTGTCCTCTTTGCTTTTGTGTAATTAGTTCTCTGTTTACTTCTGCCTGGTCTAAGACTGATTTGCCTTGGCCCAATATTGTGTGGGGAAGGCCTTCCCCAGGGCCAGAAAGGACCAACTGGGCTGGAGAGAAAGTAGCTGGCAGAGCTGTCTGGCAGGCTGGCTTGGGTTTTATCAGCTCATCTTTCTCCAACCTGGGGTGCTCCTGCCTTAGTATAACCACTGATGGAAACTTGCAGGGAAAAAGACTTTTTGGCCAGGCATGGTGACTCACACCTGTAATCCCAGCACTTTGGGAGGTCAAGGCAGGTGGATCACCTGAGATCAGGATTTGAGACCAGCCTGGCCAACATTGCAAAATCCCATCTCTACTAAAAATACAAAAAAAGTAGCTGGGTGTGGTGGCCTGTAATCCCAGCTATTTAGGAGACTGAGGCAAGAGAAGAGCTTGAACCCAGAAGTCAGAGGTTGCAGTGAGCTAAGATCACACCATTATACTCCAGCCTGGGCAACAGAGCGGGACTCTGTCCTCCCCGCAAGAAAAAAAAAAAGAAAGATATGTTTATGTGTTCCTTGAAGACAGAGCAATGTTGTAGTATGGAGAAGGCTTGATGGGTCTTGATTTATAGTGAGCTTGAAAGGTAAGTAGCTGCCTGTTCAAGTCAGGTTTAGGCAACACAGAACGACTCACATGAAACATGGAATTGACTTCACCGATACCAGCAGGGAGGGGTTCACAGTGAAGTCAACCTTCCTTCATCACAGGGGCACATGCCACCCCCATTATAGTCAAAAAACCTGAGGTTAAATCACCTCCCCTGCATCACCCAAGAGCTGTACCCACGAGCTGGCCTCAGAGTTGCACGGTGGCATGACCGGGCTTCCCTACATGGAAGAACTACCCTCAGCCCAGGGGCCTGGCTCTCTAGCAAGGAGTTCAGAACACACACCCAAGCCCCAGGGCCCTGCCTCAAGTCCACAACACTGAAGGAGGTAAGCAGACTGGGTAGGAGAGGCACCCTGCCGCCGGACAGAGGCTGTGGGGACACAAGGGGCACTTAGCAGGCCTGGTACCCACAGGGCACAGGTACCAGACCTGAAATAACGTGAAACACAGTAGGGGCTCCCTCAATATCATCATCATTATTCATTACATTTGCCTCAGACCTCAACATCATCCACAAATGATTATGGGTTTGAAAATGGAATTCGGGGCTGGGCGCCATGGCTCACCCTTGTATCCCAGCACTTTGGAAGTCCAAGATGGGCAGATCATGAGGTTAGGAGTTTGAGACCAGCCAGATCAACATGGAGAAATCCCATCTCTACTAAAAATACAAAAATTAGCCGGGCATGGTGGCACATGCCTGTAATCCCAGCTACTTAAGAGGCTGAGGCAGGAGAATCACTTGAACCCAGGAGGCGGAGTTTGCAGTGAGCCGAGATCATGCCACTGCAATCCAGGGCAACAGAGAGACTCTGTCTCAAAAAAAAAAAAGCATCATATGTTGGTAATCAATTCAAATTAATCTAAAAAGTAAAAAGAAATACAAAAGTTAGCCGGACACGGTGGTGTGTGCCTGTAGTCTCAGCTACTCGAGAGGCTGAGGCAGGAGAATTGCTTGAACCCGGGAGGCGGAGGTTGTGGCGATCTGAGATCGTGCAGCTGCACTTCAGCCTGGGCAACAGAGCAAGACTCTGTCTCAAAAAACATATGGAATTACGTTGAACTTCGGGGGCGATCCCCTGACTTCTGTTTTACCTTAGTCTTTTACTCGTGCTTCTTTTCACTGAGTGTTCATCTGCACACAAACCTGCAACATGAACGTCTTGGACTCAGCTCATTTGATGCACCAGGAAGACATTCAGCAGACAATAGCAGCACCACAGAGCTGAAAACGAAACGAATAAAGACTTTCTCACAACGAAACAAGGGAACCGACTGCTGATACCCGGAGCTCCCGCGAGCCAGAGAGAAGTGAGGAGAACTTGCCGTCTTCCAAGAAGAAAAGCCAGCAAAGAGGAAGCAGTCTCCAGGAACAACTGGAAAATGAAGAGGTGGCACGTAGACAGCTCTTTACAGCTTCTGAAGCACTTCTTGAGAGCCTTATCTTGCTTGAGCCTCCCCAAACACCGTAAAGTGGGAAGGAAATTATGGAAAAGGAAGTTCAGAGAGATCAATATCCAACTCAAGGGTGCACAGCTGGAACTCAGGTCCGGGATGCTGTCAGAAGGGACTGCGGGTCTGCCACCTCCAATGCTCAGGCAACTCACCCCCCAACCAGACACCCAGCAACCCACTGCGAGTAAAGGTAAATCTTCCTCCTTCCCAGCCCCTGTAGTCCCTGCCTCTGAAGCCACAGCTAGGAGATATGATACCTAGGAAAGGCACAATGAAATGGGTTACACCTACCATTTTTGACCTTCAAAGCAGTTGGGGTCTTCACTATGTCCTATGCAGCCCCAGTGACATGGGACCCCCCTGGGTCACACGTGCCCACCTGCGTGAAAGAATAGGTCAGAGGAATGTCAGAGAATCCCCTCCTCCCTGCCCTGCACCACCCACTCTCACACAGTCTGGCCTTAGTTTCTCCACAGATGGTGATGTCTGGGACAAGTAGCTGCACGCCTCTGTTTACTCACCTGTAAAATGGGGAGAAGCGCGTTTGCCTCCACCCCTCCCGCCAATGGGAGCAGAGGTAGAGCCTGCTTGTCTGGACAAGCCCAGAGCGAGGCCCATTCTCCTGATCTGCTCTCTGGGAACCAGCTGCTGTGACAAGGCCTGTGGCTGAGTGCTCCACTCCGATCTCAGGCTCCCAGGATCACGTGGGTATCAAACGGAGAAGCTGCAGGTGAGCCAGGTGGCATCATTGCAACTGGCTCCTGAGACCAGACCTTGGGTCACAAGGATGTGTGAGGTGAGGTGGCTTTCGTCCCTGACTTCATAGCCAACAAAGTGGTGGCTGTCTACCTTTGAGCAAACAGGCTCGACTCTTTTCCCTAAAGGAGCAGAGTTGTAAGCTCAACCCTATTTGCCCCCCACATCAATCCAGCAATTATTTAATTAACACAGTTTCCTCTATAAATTTTATTTCAGATTTTAAAAAATCCTGGCAATGACATAAGTTAAACCATCCAGAATGCCAGATAAAGTCTCCGAATGGGAGTTCACTCCTTGGTGCCTGGTGCACCCACTGGCCTTGAGCCCCTGCAGAAAGGTCCTGTCGATCACCCTGACAGTCCTCCTGGGCTCAGGCACCCAAACGCTAGGGCTCAGCACCCAGCCAGGGGCCCTGGCATGGCACATCTGCCCAGATGTTTACAGGAGACCTAAGTGGAAGCCATGGGGCCAGCCAAGAGGGCAGGGAGCCCAGTATTTGGCAGAAGCAGCTGAGGAAAGAGCTGGCATTGCTCAGACTCACCAGTGTTAGCCTGCTGATATTGGTCAAGCCTGCCAGGCTCCAGGGCCCACTATCCCCTTTCCCCGTCCTCAGCTGCACACTCCAGCCCATAACAGTACAGGACCTTTCCACCACCACAGGGTAAAAGTCAGATGTGGGGTTTCCAAAAGCTTCAAAGCTTACCCCTCTATCCCGAAGGACACCAGGGGACAGAGATGGACACGGAGGCCTCACAACAGGAGGAGCCTCAGGAAAATAAGGAGACCCTTCTCCCTTGTTGATTACTTGGGTATTACAGAAAGAGACGGACTGAAGCGGCTGAGCCTATCTGAGGATTAAAGCACAGCTTTTGTCAGGCGTTCGTGCCTCCGGTCATTGTTCCGGCGACCTGAGGAATGGCATGCATCGGAAGCCGCTTCCGTGTCTCAGATGGGGGCTGAGGGCCGATGCAGCATTTCCCAGATGGCAAGAGGAGAGGAGCTAGTCGTGCCTCCCTCTCCCGGGAAGTTATGTGCGATGAGAATTTCACCTCTTAAAACGATTAGCAGCAGAGATCTTATGTGCTTTTTAAAAATTATCATTTTCTAATCGAGGTACAATTTATGCGTTTTAAAAATCAAATTAATTGCACCCCAGGGTTCTGGGATGGAGGGCGGTGTGCGCCCGTGAAGGTCAGAGGCCCGGCGGCGCCAGGGCTCCACAGCGTGGCGCTGGAATGAATGGCCCTGCGCTTTGCTTTCGCCTTCTACCCCACTGCGTGTGAAGCCCGAGGGCCGCGGGGAAATTCCAGGCCAGCTGGGCCGGGGTGCGCCCGCCGGGTGCCCGCTCGGGCAGGGTGGGGCGCAGCGGGCGTCTGTCCTGCCAGCGGGACCCAGGACCAGGGCACGTGCTCAGCGACGCGGGGCAGCCCCGCCAGGAGCCCCGACCCGGGCGCGACGCAGGGCCCAGCAGAGAGCGCGCATTCCGGAGGGCGGCGCGCCGGCCGAAGTTGGGCCAGCTCGCGGTGCGGCGGCTGCGAGGGGGCTGCAGGTGCCGCGGGAAGAGCCCGCCCGACTTCGGGTAGGCAGCCGGGCGCTGTGGCCCCTGCGGCTCAGCTCCCTGCGGGGTCCGGTGTCTCAGTCCCGCGACTTCCGGGACCCGCCGGCGCTTCGGGGAGCTAGTCCAAGGGCAGCCTTCAGGGCTAGAAAGCGCACGGCGCGGTCGCCCGGGCGGTCCTCAGCACCGGGGCAGTGCGGCTGGCACTCCGGCTCCCGCAGGAGCAGCGGGCGGGGTGGGGTGAGGCGGGCCGGCCCCCTCCCCTCCCTCCCGCCCCCTGCCCTCCCTTCCTCCGGTCCTGCAGCCAATTAGACGGCCCCCTCGAGGGGGAGGCGTGGGGCGCTGCATAAAGAGGCGGGGAGCTGTCACCCCGGGAGCAGGCTTCGCAGTGCCGGGGCCGAGCCGGTGCGCCGCGGACTCGGGCGCCTCGGGCCAGGGAGCGCGGAGGAGCCATGGCCACCACTAACGGGGCCGTGGAAAACGGGCAGCCGGACAGGAAGCCTCCAGCCCTGCCGCGCCCCATCCGCAACCTGGAGGTCAAGTTCACCAAGGTGAGGTGGGCGCCCCTCCCACCCGACGGCCGCAGGCCTCCGCGCTGCGCAGCCAGCTTCGGGGCGCCGGGGCCAGGGCCCAGCAGGCCGGGAGTTCGCCGGGCGCTCCCGAGACCCGAGCTTCCCTGCCCGGGCTTGGACCTCTAGAAACCGCACCCTTCGCGGGGCATCTTGGGCGGGATCGCAGGCTATGGGGCTCGGCGCTGTGAGCCTCGAAGCCGGGAGACCGAGGCCGTCTAGCGCCCGCGCGGCCCCGACGTTTCCCTGCATTGCCCGCTTTGATCGCGAGCGGAGGTGAGCGTCACGTTGACTCGGAGCGCGGGGGTCTTGCTCCTGCAAAAACCCCTGGGATGGTTTCCAGGGTGGACGAGTCTGGCTTTGAGAGGGTCAGAGGTGCTCGAGAACTCCAAGAGCGAGTCTGGGAGCCACATCGCGGAGCTGCAGTTAGAAGACTGGGGAAACAGGTCCTCCGAGCAAAGCGAGAAGAATGGGCACCTTCCGTGCTTAGCTTCTACCCAGCTCACCAGCAGAGCTAGAGGGGAGTGGGAAGGTGCTCACCTATTGATGAAACCGCCCCGGAGCCCAGAGGGCCTGGTGTTTACAGACAAGGAGCGCGTTCTGGAAGGTCGCAGGTCTGGTCCTTGGGAAGCCGTGGGTAGCAAGGCCGAGCGCCCAGGCTCCGTTGCGCGGCAGAAGCGCACGGTTCTCTGCCTCCTTGCGCTGCGGGCTGGGAGGCTAGAGTGGTGGCAGAGCGGCGAGATTAACCTACCTGGGGCAGAAAGGAAGAAGGGAAGATGGTGAGGCCTCCGAGGCCTCTGAGCTGGGGATGAGGAGGGCCAGGAGCCCCCGGTCCGGAAGCGCGACCAGATGGAGGACAGCCTCAGGCCGTCTGCGGTGTGCTGCTGCCCCCGGGCCGGTGCTGGGGCACTTTAGAGGCACGGGCCAGGCCGAGAACCATGGCCTTCACTTTCCCCACCTTTGGCTTCTCTTGATTTTGGCTTCGATCCATAACCCCCAGCTCCAGCTGACACCGCACTTAGAGAATTTCCTCATTCGTTTTACTTTCAGAAGTAGCAATTATCTTTCTCAAAGAGTTTTAATCAAGCGGAGAAGTTGCAGGGCACTATGTGTGGCCTTCAGATTTGGGTCTCTTGGCACTTAATTCCCAATGTCGGCTGAGCCTCTGATCACATGACATTTAAATTAACTGTTTTCAGAAGGCTCGGTAATCAACAAAGACAGGTCGCTGTGAACGCTGGAAGTGATTCTCAATGTAGTTTTCTTTGTAATATCAGCTTCAGAGTGAAAATTCCAACAAATTCTGGGAAGAGTGCAAGTGGTATCTTAATTTTGTACCCTAACCCTAGGTGCTTGGCTCTTGCTCCTGGCGGCGAAGTGGGGAGGTTGTTTGTTTTCTTTTGGTTGTACAGGATTTCAAAATACTATATATAGAAACCAGAAAGTAAATGTATTATGGTCTTTTTACTGTTGATGTTTTTAAGTCCTATCAGCAATCTGACCACATACAAAAATTTACCTCTTTCTTTACAATTTTTAGGACACTTTTAAGGTGTAAATGTAGCCTTAGGGAGATCTCAGGCAATACGCAGAGCCATGACTGCCTGTCGTCTTGGTGGGTGCACAGCCTCTGCCAGTTGAAGGGAAGCAGTGTAGGACTGAGGCCGAGGGAAGGTGGTAGATGGGCCTGGAGCCCTGGGATCTTGAGGGTTCTCCCCGGGGTTGATGGCCCCAACTGCCTGACACTGGCTGCTCCCTCCTCACCCATTGGGGACAGTGCTGCTGCCTGCTCTGTCCTGGCTCCTGGTCCATCTTCTGCAGAGACCTCCTCATAGCAGTTGTGGACCCAGGCAGCTTGCCTGACTGAGGGTGGGTAGCCAGTGCCCTGGTACAGGGCCTGGACTGGAGAGGCCGCTGAGAGTGAGGCTGCCAGGAGCACCTGCCGAGGGAGGGAGCAGCAGAAAGTGCAGGTCCGTGGCCCAGGCAGGTGGTCTGGTGAGCAAGCAGACAGTGGAGCATGGGAGCCAGCAATGGTCTGCTATTTTTCAGAATTGACTCGTGGTGCTTCTTGATAATGGGGCACACGCCAGAGTCGGCGTATCTGAGCCCCAGCCCCGGCGGTGCCATTTCCCAGGGTGGTCCCGCTTTCAGGAGGATGACTTTGTCAAAGCCCCCTCATTTGTCCTCACAGGTTAACATTGGATTCTCTAGGGTCATGCTGTGTGTGTGATTCTGGATAGCCGAGAGCCCCTCCAAGGTCCCCACACAGATCTCAGAAGGTAGAAGCCCCTTCTAATTTAGAGGTCCTCTTTTTTTATACAATTTCTTTCAGTAGCAGAGATTCTCTTTAAAGTTTTCTGGTTTTAAAACACCAGTTTTTATTGTCTCTTTTATGAAAAATAAAATTCCCCCAAATCTCCTTTTCTGAAAACATGTTCTTTTTGAGTTTAGCTGAGTGGCCTGTTGGCTGATGGAAGCTACTGGAAATCGGCACCAATAGCATCTACTTGTATGACTGCCATTTTCACCTCTGCCTGATTCACCTTACAGCTCAGTCCTGATTCCATGCTCTGCTGTTCCTTTTGTAAAACGTGAACCGTGTCTACAGCTCAATGTAACTTCATGTTATCCCTCCATAAGGTTTGTTGTATGCTAATTTGCAAATCAAAGACAACAGTTCCTTCTAGACCCTTCACCCTGATTTGGAGTTCAAAACAATACAGCCAGCAGAATCGGTAGGCCATATTTACTGACCCTTTCCTTAAATTTTTGTTTTAGTGGAGAGAAAGATCAACAGTAGGAACTACTTATAAGATTACTTACTAGTGTAGTGTAGTATAAAGAAAAAGATTTTACAAAATCAAAACCACTGTGATGGGAAAATATGGTTAGAACCAAACAGTCTGAATTTTTTTTAAGGTTGCTTGTTACAGATCAATGTCATGAGCAAACTAATTTTTTCTTTTTTTTGGAGGAGCATGCTCGGAGATGCAGTATAGCAGACATCCGATCATTGTAATCTGTTTCCAGCCCCCTTATTTATATTCTCTTCTGCCACCTTCTCATTTTCCCTCCCCTTTGGAATTGATACCAGGAAGGATCTAGAATCAGCAATTTTCACTGACAGTCTCTATTATCTAACCCACGAAATTTCATCTTTCTACAAATGGGCCTCTCTTCCTGGCTGCACTTTCCTCCCCGCACTAACTTAACTCTTCTTCCCAGTTATTAATTTCTCGCTGTTACCGAGTGATGACTTGCTGGATGGCGAAAGTGAACGCTTGGATTTAGTTTCAGCTGGAAGAATAAACCTGTAATTGTAGCCTGGCCTTTTCCTGGTGTGCTTCCCTGGGGGCCTGGCCTCACGCTCGAGACACTAAGCTTCCAGAAGCCAGACAGACACGTCCCACTGGTGCCGGATGCTCTCGGTTCTGGATTCCAAGCTGGGGGGCAGCTAGGCTCTGCTCACCTGCCCAGCCAGAGTCTGCCGCATGTGCTTGGTCCCCAGCGGACTGAGACCAGGCTTCCCCACCCCTGAGCTTTGGAGGTTTTTGTTGTTGTTGTTGTTGTTTTACTTTTTATCAACTTTTATTTTAAGTTCTGGGAAACGTGCAGGATATGCAGGTTTGTTACATAGGTCAACATGTGCCATGGTGGTTTGCTGTACAGATCAACCCATCACCCAGGTCTTGAGCTCAAGCTGTGGTGTTCATACAGGAAGCTCAATACAGAGAACGTAACCAATAGGCATGCTTGGGAGACGGCTGCCCTCTCTCACCTGTTGTCACTGGGGAGTCAAATGCTCCAAGTGAATCAGTTTCACAATAATTGAAATTAGTTCTTGAGGGATGCAATTGTTCCTTTAAAGAAGTCAAAGAAGAAAAGTAAGCCTGTGTGCCCTGTGTGAAGGTAGATCTAAAACTGGAAGCTGATGAACTAATTCTGTACTCGGAAATTATCGACGGCATTCTATTTGATAGACTCGCATGTTAGCCACTTCTGCGTGGGGGTTCTTCTGTCACTGGGATAGGCTGTGATGAGGAGGAAGCCATTCCAAGTTGGTGTCGTAGGAGTTTGTGTGTCTTCTTGCTGGGGACTTCTGTGCTGTTGGAATGTGCTTTGTATATTGTCTGTCACCTCTGTTTCTAGTTCTTTTCCAAAAGCCCTCTCTTTTAATTGACGTTATTAAGACAATTAGAACTTAGTGTAAACTTAACAGTAAATAGGACATATGTTTTAATGCGTGCACTTAGTACGTTCTTCTTAGTCTGCTCATGATGTCTTTTGTTAAAAAAGCTTTTATTCTCAGCTGCACTCTGGATCATTGAGGTTCCCAGAAAAGTGATTTCCGCGGGGTAAACAGTTATTTGCGACATCCCGTAATGTAACCTGGAAAGTTTCTAATGCAGATATTTAACTTTGAATTTCAACATCGTTTTTTTGTTTGTTTGTTTATCAAGACCAATGTGAAAATACACATTTTAAGGGGAATGCTGGGGACGGGCATCCCGATGTGCGTTGGTGAAAACTGAAGGGTGATGGTGAGATCCTCCTTAGACGAGCTCCTTGGCAATCAGTGTGCCAGGAGATTGCAGCTGATAGGAGAAAGGGAGTGCTCAGTTCGTCTTTACCCACCAGGGCAGGCGAACTGCTCGGGACTTTTCTATATGTAAACCTAGTGACTCTTTCCCTAAAGTCTGTGAGGTTATAAGATTCAATTCATAGCCTCTGCTTAACCATTTCACTTACTCATTCCTCTGTGAATCCATGTCATTGTTGAAAATAATAATAATAATTTAGAAAAAGATCTCTAAATGACTTTAGTTTTATTTGACCAACTTGGATGAGTTTGTCCTGGTTGATCTATTGGTCATGAGGTCCTGGAACTCTGTCTATAAAATGTCGATGGGGAGAGGGAAGCAGCGGAGAAGAAAGTGGACAGGATGGATAAGACGTTACCTAAGGTCCTCAGCATGTTGCAATTATATGATTTTGATTTAAACCTAATTCGTTACACTTCCTTTCCTGGTTAGATATTTATCAACAATGAATGGCACGAATCCAAGAGTGGAAAAAAGTTTGCCACATATAACCCTTCAACTCTGGAGAAAATATGTGAAGTGGAAGAAGGAGATAAGGTAAGTATTTAAAACAAAATGTCGCTCTGAGTAATTCAATTATAGATGACCAAAGAATAAGGAAGCCGTCTGGCTTAGCTAGAAGACAGGACTGGCCCACGCTAGGGGCAGGGCCTGGGCTGGCTGCACGAATTGGCATGAGCTCCTCAGACACATGGCACAGAATGGGATCAATTACAATCCTCTGCAGAGTGTCGTTTTCCTGTGATAGATGTTTCTCCATCTATGAGGATGACTTCATCTATCCTCATCATATGGCTAAAGGAAAGGTTTTTGGGTTTTTTTCTAATCAATTATTTGAACCGGGAGGCATTAAAGAATCTTCCCAGAAAGCATTTCCGGCTGGTGTGTTTCACCAAAGGCAGCATTCTGACAGGAGACACTTGAGAAAAAAGTACACTTGGAAAAAATTAGTTCCTTCCCAAGTGATGGGGGGAGAGTTAATAATGTAACCGCCAGATTTCTTCTTTCCTAGCAATTCACATAAGCATGGAAAGCAGCAACCTTTATAACCCTATTTGCAAGTGCAAGGTCTATATTGTAATAAAGAAGCTAAGGGACTTCTGAATGTGTCCTTTAGACATTGCAAGGCCATCAGACCTATTTTGAAGGTCAGTGCAGAGGTAAAGCCCTTCCACTGAGGGCGGGGAGATGTAACTGCTTCCTCAGCCGCTAAGCAGTGGACTGATGTTCTAGGTCACCAAACTGATGATGCTGGATGTAGATGGAGTGAACAGCGCGTGCAGGGTAGGCTTGAATTTTGTCCTGCCTGTGAGTTTTGTGACAGGCGAGCAATTCACAGCCGCCCCACCTGTACATGACAGCTAGGCTCTGCTAATAAAGACGGCAGCACAGAGGAGCTCATAGAAAAATGTGAGGGCATTGGGGGGAAGCCATGACATGGAATGGGGTTTCCACTAGGAGACTCCCAAGTGGCCCGTGCAGGTGCTGGGAGGAGAACGAGACCGTTGCCCTGGGCCTTGGTTTCTCTCTTATTCTGAGTGACTGTTCTGAGCTACAGGCCACCCCATCCTCTGCAGCTGGAGAGACCCTGGCCTCCACCCCAGAGTCTGGGAGAAGGAATTCAGTGTCCCACATCTCCCGTGCCAAGCTTCTGCTCAGCCCCAAGCCAGCTCTGGACACAGAGTCTCGGTAGAGTCGCTCCTGCCTGGGGTCCGGCATCGACTCCTTGCTGTACCTTCCTAGAAAGAGAGAGGCATGAAGGGGCCTTCGAGATGAATGTGTTCCTGAGAAAAAGAAAGAATACCACTACTCTAAATAGCCCTCCCTTCTTTCCTTTTAGAAAGAAGGTTCTGTTATGATTATTCTCGCAGTGCACAGAAGATCCAGTTCTGCTCCCATGGGGTGGGAGAGGCTGGAGGGAGAACAAAGGCCTCCACGGTCCTCCCTGCTCCTCCCTGTCTGAGAACGATTTCACAGGGTCAGTTCCGCAATCTAGAGAGGAACGAATTCCTCCGTTCTCACTCTTGACCACCAGTTCCCAGCTGGAATAAAATGCCGGGCAGACGCGTCCCACCTGATTTGTAAACAGCAGCTGGTGTGTGTTCACACTGAGCTAGCCGGTGGGAAGTCTTTTTGTACTTGGGTCCCCGAGAGAAATACTCAAGGCCGGTGACTTCTCTGAAATGTTTTATAATGCTTTTTATAATCAGAAACAAGCATTGATACCTGGCCACTGTAGACATCGTAAGATGTAAAGAAGAAAAAAAAATCACTCGAAGGCTCCCGGCCCCTCAAGTGATTTCAAAACTTGATGCTGCTTGCGGCCTGTCTGCCAGCGGCACGATTCCGCTGTTCTCTGTAACTGACAGCCGCCGTCCCAAACTGCAGCCGCATCAAAAGATGACACCCTCTCTCTGTCGTTTTGGCCACTCAGCCCGACGTGGACAAGGCTGTGGAGGCCGCACAGGCCGCCTTCCAGAGAGGCTCGCCGTGGCGCCGGCTGGATGCCCTGAGTCGCGGGCGGCTGCTGCACCAGCTGGCTGACCTGGTGGAGAGGGACCGCGCCACCCTGGCCGTGAGTACATGCACACAGGGGCCAGTGTGGGATGAGCCGTCCTCAGGGAGGGTTCTGTCTCCCATGGGGTATGCGAAAAAGATCAGGGTCCTGGTTTTGTGTGGTCGTGGGTCTGTTCCACCCTTTGAGATACAGCTCTCTAGCAGTCTAGGCTGGCGTTCATGCCTCTGGCTGAGCGCCTTCGTTTTCGAAGGCGGACAGGTTGTCCTCTGCAGCTCAGCTTCTTGACCAAGTGGCTGCCTATAGGAAGTTCAGCTCTATCAGTAGTCTCACACTTGCAGCACTCACAGATGGTGACCATGAGCTGGGCCATATCCTGGTTCCATTGTGTGTTTTTGTACTTAACTTTTTTCTTTTTTATATTAACTCCCATTTCTTTATTTATTTGAGACAGAGTCTCCCTCTGTTGCCTAGACTGGAGTGCAGTGGTGCGAACTCGGCTCACTGCAGCCTCCGCCTCCCGGGTTAAAAAAATTCTCTTGCCTCAGCCTCCCGAGTAGCTGGGTCTGCAGGTGCCCACCACCATGCCTGGATAATTTTTATATTTGTAGTTGAGACAGGGTTTCGTCACGTTGGCCAGGTCTTGAACTCCTGGCCTCAGGTGATCCTCCTGCCTTGGCCTCCCAAAGTACTGGAATGTGACAATATTCATTAAAGCACAGGTTTGATGTGCTAATTTTATTTTTCTAATACTTACTAAAATACACACCAGCAGTTAACATAGAAAAAATTGCCCCCATGTGACCTAAAATCATTCCTTGGTCACCCCTGAACTGGCCAGTAGCAAGTGTATGTGGAGTGGTGACAAGGTCAGAATAGCCTGGTTATAGGAAACCTCAAAGTAGAAAACACCTAGGTTCAAATCCCCACTCTGCCACTTCTAGCTGTGTGACTTGGGACAAGTTGTGAAACCTCTCTGAGATTTATTTCTTCATGTAAAATGTCCCCAGTAATGTTATCTCAGTGGTGTAATAATGGTCTGTCTAAGATTCTAGGCAGAGTCCCTGGAGTGCAGTAAGCACTAAGTAGGTGATATCTATTATTAATCTATTAATAATAGCAGTTATCGTAATAAGGCCATATGAAGAACCATTTTCTTTTTGAGACCAAGTGTCACTCTTGCTGTCCAGCCTGGAGTGCAATGGGAGGATCTCAGGTCACCGCAACCTCTACCTTCTGGGTTCAAGCGATTCTCCTGCCTCCCTGGTAGCTGGGATTATAGGCATGCACCACCACGCCCGACTAATTTTGTATTTTTAGTAGAGACAGGGTTTCTCCATGTTGGTCAGGCTGGTCTTGAACTCCCGACCTCAGGTGATCTGCCCACCTCAGCCTCCCAAAGTGCTGGGATTACAGGTATGAGCCACCATGCCTGGCCAAAGACCCATTTTTTAACCTCAGCTACATGCATGGCTGGCCAGTAATTTCTAGATACCTTAGGTGGTGATATTGATGCAGCGTATCCCATGAGGTTGGGCTGCGAACACATTAATCGGTAAATGCAGTTTTTAGCAGGATCCTCAGAGCTTCCTTTGGTCTTGAGGGGTGATTGGAGGACATCTCGGGGCCAAGTTGGGCAGTGAGGTCCTCTGCATCCTGTGCATTTTGTCCTTGCATGTCTCAGCCTCTTGTTTTTAAAACTTGTTCCAAACCTTGAGGCCTGTTGTAGGGAAGGAAATCTCCTTTTTGGCCTTTGATTTGGAAAAATGGTTTTTCTGATGTCGGGAACAAGCAGTAGGGTAGCCACCGTTTAAAGGAGGGTGTCAGCCAGGACACGGAAACTGCTGTTGCTCCTGAATGTGTTTCTTAGGGTGGAGGAACTCTCAGGCCTTACTCTTGGGTGCATTTTCCTGAGAGTGCATCAACACAGAAACTTGAGCTCTCCTTCCTTCCTTCCCAGTCAGCCCCACCAGCCCGCATGTTTCCCGGGTGAGGGTAGCTCCCTCCCAGGGTAAGTGCTTCTCTCTGAGGAGCCTCTGGTTTCTTCCTGCAGAGTAAGCCAGCTTCAACCCTCAAGCTGCCAAACTGGCTTTTTCAAAAACATTTCTGTTTTCACCCAGCATGAGCTCATAGGTCGGCAATGTCCGTGTGGACTAATAGCAGGCTAGAGAGGATGTGCCCTGGGCACCCCCACCCCCCGAACCCTGTCCTTAAGTGTCAGTATCATCTTAGGAACAGCGGCTGCAAAGCCACCTTCATCTTCGGCCCGCCCCATTGTCCTGGCACGACTGTGTTTTGATAGCAGACAGAGCTTTGGAGGAGCTCAGAATGCAAACCCAGAAAATCACTTCTGCCATTGGGACCTCACTGCCCACAAGAAATAAGATCCAGCTCTTTGCCACAACATGAAAGGGACAAGAGAATTACTGGCAAACACGGTTTTTAAAACTCCGACCACATCACAGGAGAGCGCCCCTTGCTCTCCACCTTGATATGGTTTCCGTGCGTGTTCATGGAGCGTGTTCTCTCGCCGGCTCAGTGGTTTGACAAGGCTGGGTGTTTATTCCTGTGCTCAGTGTCTGGAAACAGATGTGGGAGATCCAGCGGCTCCTGGATGGCTATCCTTTGCTGGGGCACCCAGGCCCCAAGTCTGGCTCTTCGGGTGCTCGTTTTGGGAGCTCCCACATGGAAGCCCTCCCTATCCACTCTCCTTTGCACCCCAAATGCCAGTTCTGGGTCCTCTCATTGTAAGCCCTGCCGTGCTGTTTTCCTGGCACTTTCCGGTCACTCTTTAGTATTTGAGGGTTATGATGTGTTAATTTCTCAGAAGGCACATTTTTCTTTTAAAATATTAAAGGAAATTAACTTAGGAGTGGTTGTGGTTTACTCATGATCGAGCCACAATGACAAGTTGTTTAAAGGGTGACTGTTTCAATCTGTAGCTAGCACTTGTACTCACTCACCTGCAGAATTGTTTTAAAAAATCATTTCCCATCTAAACCTATCATGACCTGGATTTTGCTTGGAGAAATTCCGTAAAACCAACCTGGTAAATTCACATTGTCACTCCAGTGAGCAAACTTGCTGAAGTGAATAATAAAAAAAAATAGCAACGTTTATTGAATGCTCAGCATGTACCCGGCTTGTTGTAGGCACTTGGCCCGTAGGGTTTATTGTCTCACTTTCAGAAGTGAGACACTGAGGCCCAGAGAGATTAAGTAACCTGTCCGAGGTCACCCAGCCATAGGTGGTAATCCAGGACTAGAGGCAGAACATTGGCTCCGCGTCTCGCACGTACACTCAGGGCTGATGTTGAAGTCTTCTGTCTTGTTCCATCCCAGAAAAGAGTGAAGAAGAAACTCTTGGTTCCACTGATGGATATTCAGATACTGCCTGGACTAGGCCAGGCTTAGAGGCCTTTTGGCACTGTTTGCAGTTGCTAGGTTTCCCCCTGGCAAAATGAAAGTTCACACTTGAGTGCAAATCTATAGGAACCAACAGGAGAATATACTTGATGTCACACTGGCCTGACTCAGTCCCTGAGCAGCAGCTCCTGGGGGCAGAACGCATGCCCCGACCTAGAGCAGTCCTGTGGTCTTCAGCAACTCAGTGCCCTGTCTGGGTCCCCAGGTGAGAGTCACCAAGCCCTTGACTGGTGCCTGAAGGGAAAGTGATGATACTCAGGTTGTCATCAGGGTTCCCATCTGAACACCATTCTCACACTAACCACGGGCGGGCAGTGTGGTTGGTGCTGCCTACCGACTCCTCTCACGTAACACTTGCCCTGTGAAGCAAGCACTGCTACTCTTCTTCTTTTACAGATGAGGAAACTGAGGCAGGGAGAGATTCAGGGCCTTACCCAAGGCCCACTTACTTAACTAGGTTCATCAGATGTGGGTGGCTCCATTTAGAGGGGTCTTGGCTCATTCCTGGAGCACAGGGGAGCTGGGGGAGCTGCAGCACTGGAGCGGCCGGCCGCAGCCTTTCCAGACACACATGTCCAGGAGCAGCCTCTAAGGGCCGGTCTCTGTGCTGGCTGGAAGGAGATGCCCCGAATTCAGCAGCTGCCTCACTGGGTGGCCTTGGCCGAGTCACTGGGCCATTAGTGTCTGTGCCTACACATTGAAGTGGGAACAGAGTCACGGAGCTCAGGGGTGAGACATCGGGGAGTGCACCGGGGTTAAAGCCCTGGACCCAAGGAGGGGCCTTCTTCCTTTCTCAATCGTCATCTCACTCCCCTGACTCTTCCGCAAGAATCCAGCCCTGGGCTATGTGTCAGGGCGGCCACTTCCTGCAGAGGCGGATGACTGGCGGTTTCAGCGCTGGGCTCAACTGGGGCCGCTTGTCTGAGGGACAAAGGGGTTCTCTTCCACCCAGGCTGGAAATAGAAAAGAATCCCTACCATTGAGTGGCTGCACACTCGCCCTGGGTAATCACCTCCCTCACCAGCAGGGCAGCCTGATCCCTTCCGACTCCGCATCCGGCCAGCCGGGCGGGCTCCGCGGTGCAGGAGGGAAGGATTGCATCTTTGTGCTGGGGGCCGTGACCCCTCTAGGCTTTCCACAGCCACGCTGGCCAGCTCAGCAAGAAGGAAGAGCCGATATCCTCCCTTTCTCTTTTGTTCGAGGAGGGCAGCCCCCACCACAGCCACCCCAAAGCTGCTAACCTTCAGAGAGCGTCCTGGGAACGCATAAGCACACGTGACTGGCTGCACAGCTGAGGCCCCTGTGCTGCAGACGGACGTTCAGATGCCAATGCGCATTCCTTCCCAGCACAGCTTCAAGTCCGCCTTGCCTCCAGGGGCCCCTCAAGGGCGGGTGCATGTCTATGTTCTGGCCCACCACCCTGCAACCCGCTTTAGGTGTTTTGAAATCAAAGCAATCCTCACACTCCGGGACAGGCCTCCCTTCACATTTGGTGTCCTGCTTTCTGAAGCGGTACATCCGACTGTGAGGTCTGGAGAGCGATGTCCTAGGACTGTGTTCTCTCCCCGACCCCTGTCCCCAGTCCACTTGCATCTTGAACGGCCTGACAGTGCAAAAGAAAAGCAAGCCGCGTCTGAAACAGACATCATCTTGTGATTGCAGGCCCTGGAGACGATGGATACTGGGAAGCCGTTTCTCCATGCCTTTTTCATCGACCTGGAGGGCTGTATTAGAACCCTCAGATACTTTGCAGGGTGGGCAGACAAAATCCAGGGCAAGACCATCCCCACAGGTGAGCGAGGTGGATTAATGCCTCATCTGGGATGCCTTTGGGGCTATGTCTTCCCATTAATCCAGAGCCCCTCCTGACTGTTTCCCCAAGGCACTTTTCCCAGCCCCACTCTCTCTCCAGATGGCACTGCCAATTCGTCTTCTAAAGGACTTCACTTAAGTAGAGTTTACACCGCTTCTCTGTGTAACAGATAAGCCTTGGCTCTGCCACCGTTCTGGGTTTCTTTCTTGTCTTTTTGACTTGAAGTTCTCAACCTGAATTGAGTGAGTGTGTTCTTTCCCACCATGTAACCCTCTTCCAGATGACAACGTCGTGTGCTTCACCAGGCATGAGCCCATTGGTGTCTGTGGGGCCATCACTCCGGTAAGTGTGGCAGCTTTGCTCAATAGATTTTATGAAGATCTGGCCCCACTGCTCTGTGTCCTTTGGAACCAATGTCTGGTGTGTTTTGAGCATTTTCTCTGTGGCATGGAACTCCATGCCTGGGAGCTCTTGAGATGGATTAGACCCCATTCCTGCTCTCGTAGGAATGGCTCTAGGTATGCAACAGAAGGCACTGTGGATTCCAGCCAGAGTGGTCAGGAGTGGCCAGCATTCCCAGGAAGGTGGTCTCTTAACTGGACCCTAAAGATAACAAAGGCTTGTTCAACAAGAAAAAGGATTTTCCAAGGAGTAAGAATGGCCAAGGCCAAGGTGTAGAGGTGGCTGGGATACTTGGAACAGCAGGAAAACTGGTGGGGCCAGAGCTCAGGCAGGAGTGAAAGTGAGGAAGAGGGTGAACACACGTGGCAGGTGGTGTGGGCCAGCTTCCAGCGGCCTTGGCTGCCGAGGAGCTGCAACTTTATTCACTGGGCAGTGGGGATATTCACAGGTGCCCAAGAATGCTGCTTGTCTGTTTGGGAAGGGTCTGGCCACTGCAACAATAGCCAGGCAGGGAGCTGAAGAGTCAGGTAGCAACACAAAGTGAGGTTTGGAAAAGCACCCATGGAGGGAGGAGGCCAGGTCTTCAGCAGACGTTTTAGAGAGAGAAGTAGATCACATGCAACAGCATCCTCTTTGCAAAGGCTGCCCATTAGTACCCCCCAGAATGCAGGTTAGAAAGTGCTGTGCAGGCGTGCACACTCCTATGTTACCTTACACACCCCAAATCCAGACCATGAAGAGCCAGTATCCTCCACAAAGGCCTCGCTGGGCACATGGGACAGGGTAGGAGGGTGGACTGGGCCCCCAAAGCCCTTGTGCTCTGTTGCAGTGGAACTTCCCCCTGCTGATGCTGGTGTGGAAGATGGCACCCGCCCTCTGCTGTGGGAACACCATGGTCCTGAAGCCCGCGGAGCAGACACCCCTCACTGCCCTTTATCTCGGCTCTCTGATCAAAGAGGTGAGACAATCAAAAAGAAAATATCACGTGTTCTTGATAACGTTCCCACTCCTAGGAACCAGGCCACTGTCACGAGACAGGACGGGCAGACTGCTGGCAGCCGAGTGGGAAGGGAATGACTCCCAGCGTTTGGCTTGGCGACTGCGCATTCTTTTCTCCTGCTTGTGGCCACTGAGCTGGAGAAACTCCACTCCTCCCGGTGGCTTCAGGAGAATGCTTCACTCTTAGTGTGGGCGCAAACCCATGGTTTAGGACCCAGTGTTTTGTCTAGAGAATTTGCAGGGGGGTCAACCAAGAGGGAGCCAAATATTTGGCAGGTTCTCTGGGGTTTGCATTTGCGGCATATGAAATGGTCCGTTTTTCTCTGGAGGGGTGGCCGTGCCAGCTCCAGCTGGGCGGCTGCAGCCATGCATGTGCCGGGTCCCTGCTAATCAGTGCCTTCCTCTCTGAATGCAATCTCTTCTCCCTCAAGCAGCCACAACTTAGGGAAACAGAGGCCCATAGCAACACCTCTTTCCAGACATACCTTTAGCCATCCCATCCCCACGTTGTATGGAGCAGAGATTCAGAGAAAGCAACGGGAACCAGAGAGACAGGAGAAAAGATTGATTCCTTTCTCCTCTTAGGCAGGGCCGATGCGACTGGGGGCAGGTGCATGGTTGCTTAGAGGCTAGGTGGGAACGGCTGGGGATGCGCCGGTTTCCCATTTTGCTTTGGTGATGGGGGCATAATTAAGTCACATGGGTGAGACTTAGGAATTCAAAAATCCCAACTGTTCAGAAACAGTGCCTAAAACTACCGACTCAAACACTGTGCCTAGAACGTTGACTTTCTGAAATACTGTGTTCTAAGTAAGACTCAGGACAGGTGGGGAAGACCATCCTCCACCTCGTCTATTTTGTGTTCTACCTAATGAAGAGGCTTAGCAAATGCAAAATACGAGGCGCAAGTGTGAACGAGGTGGCAGCCCCTACCTTCAGGAAGGGCTCGCTCCAGGTGAGACCCGGCTTGAACAGGCAAAGAAGCTTAAGGGAGGGATATCTTGTCACAACATTTGGAACAATAATGGGTCTGATTAAAAAATGAAAACTGAAGCTCTGGGCAGATGTTTCCAGATATTTTGCAGGTGCCTCTGATTCTGGGCAGGGAGTCCTGATAAGCCACCTCTCTCCCCTTAAGACATACACACACTCTCTCACACACACACCCCACACGGAAAGGCGCTGTGCTGCAGGCAGGCCACGGCCACCTTGTGGTGTCACGACACATTTGTGCTGCACAGCGCTTTGGGCTGGCATCCCCCCTGGAAGGAGGGGGCATCTCCCCTGGGCTGCACACTGGGCTGGCAGTGGGGGGTGAGAAGCCCAGGTCAGCTCCCAGGGTGTCCAAGGTCAACTGCACTGCACTTGGGTCCTGGGTAAATTCACCCCAGCCCAGGCTTCCCTGTGGGGACATGACACAGCCATGGCTCTCTCAGCCCAAATGTGGATCCGTGGCAGATGAAGTCCATCCTTCTTCAAGTGCCATCTTGATTTCTTTCCAGGTCGGGTTCCCCCCAGGAGTGGTGAACATTGTGCCAGGATTCGGGCCCACAGTGGGAGCAGCAATTTCTTCTCACCCTCAGATCAACAAGATCGCCTTCACCGGGTCCACAGAGGTAACTCTCCTCACAGGGTGCTGGCAAAAGTCAAAGTGGTGTGTTACTTGACACCCGTGAACTTCTCCTGGGATGGACCCTAATGTGATTTGCTTTTCTTCTAAATTTGACCATGTTTTAGTACATAACAACCAGTTAAAAAAATCACTGGCCTAGTTTCCAAACTAAATAAACAATACCAGAACTCAGAAACCTTAGAAGAAAAGATTGAGAGATAAGATAAAGCAAAAATGTAAAATATTCATCTGGCCAACAATACCGTAATTAAGGTTAAGAGATAAGTAACAAGCTCAGAAAAAAATAGTCGTGATGCATTCAGCACTCCAAGAGTTTATATCCATCATATGTAAAGTGCTCCTATAAATCAATGAAAAAAAAAAAAAACTGAATGGTAGAAAAATGGGCAATTCTGAGAATAGAAATACTGAATGCCCAGTAAGCTTAAACTACTTTGCTGGTAACCAGGGAAATGCAAATTCAAACAAAATCAGACTCTCCTTTTGCCTGCCAGATTGCTAAAAACTGAAATGATACTATTGAGAATATGGGGAAGCAGGTGCTCCCTGAAAGCAGGTGACACTTTCCCTAAGATGAACAGTGTTTTGGTAGCAAGCATCCAACATTTAAAAGTGAAAAATTTTGATTTAGAAGCCTCATTAAAAAAAAAAAATACTTAGAGAAATTTTCTCATGAGCCTTCAGGGACGTGTCTTCCAGGATGTTCTATTTATGCTCCGAAACGTTTTGCAGCCGTTACAAGGAAAGCTGCCCGTGCTCTATTGTTGAAGCACAAAAACGGCAAACTGTAGAAAATCATCTTCCACGAGCTTGTTGGTAAAAGTGTGTGCTTGCAGAAGTGGAAATTATCTGGAAGGATTCCCAAGAAATTATCACTGATGGCCACCTCTGGGGCGGGCTCGGGGGCAGAGGGGGAGGGAAGCTGAAGGCTTTCTTCCTTTTATCTACATAGATCTCCACGTAGAATTACTTTTCATGAGAAAGTACTTCAGTACTTGAAAAAGAAGAAAACGCCCACTGCAGTCAGTGTCTCCATCCCCCTCCTCAGTCCAGCCCAGTCCTGCTGGACGCTGTTACTGTCCTTGGGGACACACATTGTCCCTGTGGATGGATTCCAGACCTCATTCAGCCGTCACCCATGAGCTCGGAGGTTTCAAATGCACTCACATCTTAGCATTGGAGAAACTGGCCTCAGGCCTGGAGGAGCCTGGGCCGCCCCTTGCTGTCTTCTGGCTCTGGGCCTCCGTGTCTGTGCTGGTCTCTGAGGGTCTTCCCAGCTCTGAGGTAGACCTGTTGCCCTAGATAAGTCACCAAGTCATGCTGGGCCAGCCCTCCCCCCAGGGGTGCGGTGGGCGATGGGAGAGGAGGGGCCTTGAGCATGAGTGGTGAGTGGCTCCTCTGCTGCCTCAGACGCACCCCTTCTCTCCCTGCCTGTCAGCGGCAGCCTCGGTCTTAGAATGTGTTTCCGGAGAATTCGCTCCCTCTCACCCTGAGGGCTGGCTGCCCTCGCTGCTTCTCTAACCCTTGGGGGCTCCCTCAGAGCCCCCCAAAAAGCCACACAGAACCACCTCCCAACTGGCTGTTGGAATTTCAGCTGTTTCTAGTGAGGGTAGAAGAGTCACCCCGTGGTCCCTGGAGCCCTTTATCAGACTGGCTGGACCAGCCTCCTGGGCTCAGAAGGACGGGCACCAGGACAGGTGAGAGGGCGAGGCCCTGCTCCTGGCCAGCCGTGTGGGCTCCCAGAGGCTCCAGCTCACACCTGTAAGTGGAGCAGCTCAGCCCAAGGATCCCGGGATGTCGCTGTCTGGCATGGGAGAGTGAAGCGACACCATTGGGGGCTGGGGCGCCTGGGCAGAGAGGCAGGTGGTGGCACTGCCTACCGGGCTCATCCAGAATGTTCACTGATGTGTATAGTTGGGCCAAGTTCAGCCGCATCCAAGGTACACTGTGGTCTGTGTTCTGTCCTGGAGGTTGGAAAGCTGGTTAAAGAAGCCGCCTCCCGGAGCAATCTGAAGCGGGTGACGCTGGAGCTGGGGGGGAAGAACCCCTGCATCGTGTGCGCTGACGCTGACTGTGAGTCTCTGCCCTCCTGGGTGTTGCTGGGGCATTGGGCACCCATCAGTCTCTCCCTACTTCCTGGCCTGAATTCAAAACCCACTGAGAGTGAGACGCATACACACACAGTGGGGATGCTTCTACCGCGAGCATCCCGCCCCCAGTCAGCCAGCCACAGACAGGCAGGCGGGCATCACGATGCCAGCTTCACTGCTGGTAGAAAGCTTCCTTCAAAAGGACATGGCTTGAGTGGCACCAGAGGGGCTGCCTGTTTCTGCCCCTCAACATTAAGTGTTCCTGCATGTTCCTGCAAAGCTAGGGTCATGAGGAGCAGGTCTGGCTTCTCCTCCAGAGCCCCCTGGGAGGAGCAGGGAGGGCAGGTGCCATCCACTCCCAGGCATTCCTTCGTCTCCCTCCAAGTCACATTTCCTATCATATGTTTTAAGATCCCTGAAGAGTGGAGATGCTTTTTCCTTATTTGTCTCAGACCTAACAAACCAGAGGAGGGCAGTATCAACTGATCCTTCAAAACACCCTGGTGGTCTGGTTCTAGGGGTGAACCCCTGTCCTGGGAAAGCAACCGCCCAGTGGCTTGGGGGCAGCTTGTGTCTTGCCAGAGCTGAATGACACAGCATTAAAATACATGCTATTGTTGGCTGCCTTGTCCACAAGAGGGAAGAAAGGGCTGGCCGGGCATTCATTCACCTGCTGACAGGGTCAGCTCTCAAAAGGTGTGACTTCCCAAGTGCCTTGAAACACCTCTGCCTTAAAGAATAACCTCACCCAGCTGTCCACTGGTGCCAGAAATCCCTGTCACGGAGAACAACGCCTTTCGTTTCACAGTCAGATAAGGTTGGAATTGCAACTATCCCAGAGAAAAATGACCCTGGCGCAATTTCTCACCAAGGTATAAATGACTGATATCAGTTCCTTTCTGGCAGCTGGCTCTTGCAATGGGAGAAAGGACAGGAGGGAACAGGCTCCCGGGAAGGAAAGGGGAGCTGGGCGTGAAGACGGACTGCCCATTCTTGCCTGGGTTAGTGTTCCCTTGTGGAAGCACTGTGAGTGCTGTGAACAGCACAGGGTCTTTGGAGGCCCCCAGTGCAGTTCTGGCACTGTGACTCACATTTAGAGTCCCAAACAGCCAGGACTCCCATTTTGCATTCCTGTACCACCATATCTGGACACCCCACCTGCAGTGAAGTTCATCTTCTTCCTCTCAGGGCGGAAACTGCGGCTAGAGCACAAGACTACTGTTTGGGGCTTGGTTTTACTCCCAAGGGTCATAAAAACATGCTGTGTAGCCACCTCCTACTCCTCTTCAGGGTAGAGCCAGTCCACAAATTACATCTTAACATAACCAGCATCCCAGGCAAGACATCAAGGGTAACAGGCCACCATTCTCCTGCCCCTTCTCCTGCCACCCCTGGCTCAATCAGGAGCAGGAAATGAGTCTGTTATCTTAGAGGAGGGGCAGTTCCAAGCTGGGACCTGGCCCAGCCAGCTGCAGGAGTCCAAGTACAAGAGAGGTACTCCCAAACTTTATGGTGCTGTCCTGCTGCCACCGAAACTTGCACAAATGACCCAGCTAAATAGTAACAGCCTTATTCTCAAAGCCGAGGGCAGAGCCTCTTGGAGCAGCCCCGATGGAGTTGGAATGGATCACCCACCAGTGCCCAGAGCCACTATCAGCCTCTCTGCAAAGGAAAGCTGCATTTCTTAAACAGGCAATAGAGTGGGGGTTGGTGGTGATGAAACCAGTCAAGGGTTGAGCACTAGAAACCCCTCCGCACATGTGAATGACATCCCAATACCATCCTTATCCACTAGGCATGTCCCCCAAGATCTCACTCTCTGCAAGCCTTCTAGCTGGGTTTGAATACCTGGTTTTAGTTCAATGTCAGCTCTACAATTTAAAGTCACACACATGATATTACCTTACTTAACAAGACGCTTCTTTTACTCAAGGTGAAACATTTTGGCTTCTTTAAATTCTTGCCAGTGGTCCTACATCAGTAATTAGCAAAGTTTGTTCTATAAAACATTAGTCCTCTAGAAAAAGGAGAGGGGAGGGTTACACAGGCGAGTGACATGGGGACTGCTATGGTTCTCTGGGTTCATTAGCATACTAAAGGTACTGAGAAGTCCTGCAGGGAATTGCTTTAACCCCAGATCCTTTCTCCCTTCCTCTCTGTTTGGGAGAGTCTGCAAACAAGATTAATTTCTGCAATGCAGCCACCCTGGGGCCTGTTTTCTTGTGCAGGCAATTAGAACTGCAGCTGTCAGCAGTGCTGCCTTAACAACTTAATCGCTTCCTCTCTCTGCGGCTGCTCCCGCACGCCCTCCCCCTCCAGTGGACTTGGCAGTGGAGTGTGCCCATCAGGGAGTGTTCTTCAACCAGGGCCAGTGCTGCACAGCCGCCTCGAGGGTGTTCGTGGAGGAGCAGGTCTACGCCGAGTTTGTCAGGCGGAGCGTGGAGTACGCCCGGAAACGGCCTGTAGGAGACCCCTTCGATGTCAAAACAGAGCAGGGGCCTCAGGTAACTCCCTGATGTGTCTGAACCTATGGTGCTGGTCTACAGGGTCCCTCTCCAAGGAAGGAACCAGTGACTTTCCCTGCCCAGGAACCTTTTCTTTAGAAGCTGATCAGGTCCCAGGGGGTCACGAAAGGGGGCAGGACGCACTGAGGCGTGGGAGGAGGGTGCTGTTCCCAGGGCATAAGGCCATCTGCCTGCACTCTCCACTCTCCAGGATGGCCTCCCTATGAAAAAGGGGCTATAGTGTGGCTAAAGGCAGCAGAGTGCAGGCCCAGTGTGGCATGGAGCCTCAGGCACAGCCCGAGGCCCTCAAGCCCACGTGGGTTATAGGACAAGGTGAACCACCGGAAACCAAAGAATCCCAGATGGAAAGGGCCTGGGGCATGGGGCTGTGTCTCCAGGCAGTAGGAACATGTCTCTGGAGGCTGAGTTTGGGAAGCCAAGGACAGGATGAAAATGATCATAACCACGAGATTTAATATCCTCTTTAAAAGGGTACATCCTGTATCACTTTCTTACTAATTATGAAGTGAAGCAGATGGATAAATATTTAAGAGGGCAGCCTGGCCATCCCATGCATTATTGAAATGGAGCTCAGCAGCCACTCACTTTGTTTTTAGCCAAAGTCCTGCCCCGGCCATGAAATTTCAAATCACAAGTCACTTTCCCACTGGTGTCTATCCCAGGAGGTCGCCACTTCCCCACTTCGACAGCGTTACATGCTTACAGGGGAGGCTTCTGTGGATCTGAGCTCAGATTTGGCCCTGGGCTTTATGAAAGTCACAAAAATGCTTCCATGGCTCAGTTTCCTCATCTGGATAATAGAAGTAAGCAGTGAGTATTATGAGAATTTCATGGCACCTAGGAAGTATTCAATTACGGGAAGGTTTTATTTTAAACAGGAAGAAGCTTTAAATGGCAGGTTCTCCAGTCTAGGTGGAAGTGAGTGCCTGTGCATGACCTCAGGCCATCCTATGGGGATGCCTTGGCTGGGGAAGAAGGGAGGGCCTCATGGAGGAGGGTTGTGTTTCTGGCCAGAGTGCCCACCCTCCACTGGCCCCAGCCTACACACTGATGCCGCGTGACCCTGGCAGAAAGCACTTCCGCTCATGGCTAACGTTCCTCCTCCTCAGTCATTGCCTGCCCAGCCTCTGCCCCAAACCCAGTGGTCAGTGACACAAGGTTGTCTAATGGCCTTGGCTGGATTTCAGATCTGAATGCAAACATGACCACAAGTCATTATCGAATCCATCGTGATTTTAAAGCTAATCCAGAAGCAGTGGGAACTATGTGAGCTGATCCCCATACTGAGGAAACTTTTTTACCCCATCATGATTTCTAAGTCTCTTTCCGTGGCTCCGGTCTTGACTTTTGAGGCCAGATATGCCAGTCTCTTCCAAGAGAACAGATAGAGGCCGAGTGGGTGTTGATTTCATCAGTGCATTTATGCTACCACTCAAAGTCTGTTTGAACGCTCATAAAGCCATCTAACCTCAGCATATTATTTTAGAATGCTGTTGGTGTTTTTTTTTCTTCCAAAGTGCTTTTTCATCTACGGTAATAAGATTTTACTCTGAGAGGACTTACAGCTGTCCAAATAGTCCTGCCTGTCTCATGCCTGTGAAACAGCTAGCTGACCTAGATCGGGGTCTGTGGCCGGGCTAGCGCTCCCAGGAATACTCCAAAATCATTCAGGTTTATTTGGCAACTGAGCAACGAGGCACATAAACATTATGCAGGCCACCTGGCCGGGCAGGATCCGGCAGCGTCCTCCCGGCAGAGAGCCCAGTGCAGCCTTGAGCCAGTCCTTTGGGGGCCATATTTCGCTGTTTCTGGTGTTGTGCCCTGCCGCGTCATCCCACTTCCTGGCAGGTCTCTCTTCCTGTACTGTAAGGCACCAGCTGACATTTCATGGAGGATTATTAGATTTAAACAATGTGTTCCTACGGACTCTCCAGGGAGTGTTGAGTTTGGATGTGTAGGGTTTCCGCAGGGACCCAGCACTGCCTGCAGGACAAACGGGGTCTTCCAGATGGCCTATGCCCGGCAGCCAGGCCAGACCTGAAGTTGGGTGAAGCCCCTGTGGCCCTTTTGGCCCCTCGGGGAGGAGAAGAGAGGTTCAGCAACACCTGGAACTGGTGACCCGAGACCTGGTTCGCCCAGAAAGAAGCTGAGAGAATCTTGAGCTCTTCTGGAATCTGCTGCAAAGTTATTTTGTTACTTTTTTTTTGGAGATGGACTCTTGCTCTGTCACCCAGGCTGGAGTGCAATGCCACAGTCTAGGCTCACTGCAACCTCCCCCTCCTGGGTTCAAGCAATTCTCCTGCCTTAGCCTCCCAAGTAGCTGGGATTACAGGTGCACACCACCACACCTGGCTAATTTTTAGTAGCGATAGGCTTTCGCTGTGTTGGCCAGGCTGGTCTCAAACCCCTGACCTTGTGATCCTGCCACCTTGGCCTCCCAAAGTGCTGAGACTACAGATGTGAGCCACTGTGCCCAGACCGTTACTTTTTTGTTGTTGTTCCTTGTTTTTTGAGTAGGAGTACACATACATGGGTCAAACTCCGAAACGCCTAAAACATCTGCAGTGAAAGGGCTCCTGCCCCTCCCACCCCCACCTTCATACACCTGGTTCTTACCCTGCCCCCTATAAGTATTCCCAGTTCTTAGTTCCTCACATTTCCCTTTAGAATGTCTTCATGTGTACACAAGCAAATATGAATGTGTGTCCTGATTGCCTTTGCTATTTTTACATGAAAGTTACCATGATAGTATACTGTTTTTTGTTTGTTTGTTTGTTTCTGAGACGGAGTTTCGCTCTTGTTACCCAGGCTGGAGTGCAATGGCGTGATCTCGGCTCACCGCAACCTCTGCCTTCTGGGTTCAGGCAATTCTCCTGCCTCAGCCTCCTGAGTAGCTGGAATTATAGGCACACGCCACCATGCCCAGCTAATTTTTTGTATTTTTAGTAGAGACGGGGTTTCACCATGTTGACCAGGATGGTCTCGATCTCTTGACCTCGTGATCCACCCGCCTCAGCCTCCCAAAGTGCTGGGATTACAGGCTTGAGCCACCGCGCCCAGCCGATAGTATACTGTTTTGCACGTTATTGTTCCTTAAGAAAATGTGAAGAGCTCTTTATACCAATCCGTGGGAACCTGCCCAATTCTTTTTCACATGTGTACAAAATTCCACTGGATGAAACCACCAGGATTTAAGTAACATCTTCTGATTAGCACGTGTATGTGTGCAGTCACACACAAGACCTCAGAGTATGTAATTTCACACACACACAAGGAAATCCCTGGGACAGATTCCCCAAAGTGGGTTGCTAAGTGGGAACACATTTGTAATTTCCTTAAGTGTGGCTGAATTACTTTCCTCTATAGAGGGTGAACCCACGTGTATTCTTACCAACATTGCAGAAGCTTGTCTGTTTCTTTACCCTTGCCAACAGAATATGGACTTTTGCCCATCTGAGAGTTAAAAATGGTACCTTATTTCATTTTAACATGCATGTACCTCTTATAAAAACAAGGTAGAACATCTTATTATATATTAAAAAGCCATTTGTATTTCCCTTATTATCAAATGTGCATTTGCTTTGAATATTTTTCTTTGGAATTGTTGGGCATTTTTTATCACTTCTAAGACCTCTTTACATAAGTAGTAGGAAGATTCACTTTCTATGAATATGACTTGTTAATATTTTTTCCAAGTTTGTTGTTTTGCTCTTTGACTTCACTACGATAATTTTGCTCGCCCCCCCCTTTTTTACATACTCAGAATTATAAATCTTTTCTTTTTTGCTTCTGCATTTTGAGGAATTAGAAGGCCATTGGTGCTCCAACTTTGCAGAAGAGTCCCACGTATAAAACTTTTATGGTTTCATTCTTCATGGTTATATCTGTGATCTCTCTGGAGCATGGCTGGTATAAGGTGTGAGGTATGGATTAAGATAGTATTTTTAAACGGGGTCTATATTTCATGAGATGATTGGTCAAGTGGTGTGCATGGTTTGTGCCCTCTCTCTTGAGAAAGTTAGCCTCCTCCAGGACAGACTGTCATCCAGTTGCACCACTGGGTTTGCATGTTTTTCTGTTTACAATTATTGGAATGAAACCAGTTTTCCTACCTAGAAGTCCTAGCTATAGCAAACCTAGTAAAGCTTTGTCTCTCCCAGCCAAAGAGGAGGGGGACCAGCCACAGACCTTAATAAAGGACAGGATTCCCATGGATTTAGGAAGAAGGACCAGTGGAGGGGGCAGAAAGAGCTCATTCCCCCTTGAGCAGTCTCCCAAAAGGGCGCGACTTTGACAACTGGTCAGCAGTAGGTTCACAAGCTGGGTATCAGGCTGGTGGTACAGGGCAAACTCCAGCCAAGGAGACATCTAGACAAGGTAGCAAAAGGAGGAGTCTTTTTCACGAGCTGTTCCCTGCCAACCAAGGAGCAGCCCTTCCACCTCACCTGGAGGCTCATTCTGCTTTGTCTCCAGGGGTATTGAGTAAGGTGGTCAGGTTTGCTTTTTTGCTTCTCTGCACCATGACAGGAGAATTCCCGTAACTATTATCCTGATTCATAGTACCAGCTGAGCAGGGCACAGGGTTGCCAGGTGATACACCCAGGTAGACTTGAATTTCAGAGAAACAATGAATGCACTTTTAGCTTTAATATATCCCAAATATTGTTTTGGGACATGCTTATATTAAAACAAGAGAATCGTGTCATTTTTCCGAAATTCAAATTCACTGGGCATCCTGTATTTTTATTTGCTGGATGTGGCAACCCTAGTAGAATGTGAAGAGTTGGGAGAGGAAGGAATTCGACCACTTCATACCTGTGTCACCCATGGATTAAGTTTGTGGCATGGAAAAGTGGGATAGAAGTGCAAATAAGTCCCAGACCTCCAGAGGACAAGACTAGCCTGTCTCCCCATCTCTCCCCTGCTCCAAAGAGCCCAGCTCTGGGCATTGGAGGAATATGTGCCTGCAAGCCACATTCATTACATGGATCACGGCTTGACGAGAACATGCAGAGGGAGGACGGCCGATCATGTGTGAAGGCCACCGAACACGAGATGGCAGCCACTGTGCAGAAGGAAGCCAGGCTGTACTTGTTCATATTTTGCAGATTGATCAGAAGCAGTTCGACAAAATCCTAGAACTGATCGAGAGTGGGAAGAAGGAAGGGGCCAAGCTGGAATGCGGGGGCTCGGCCGTGGAAGACAGGGGACTCTTCATCAAACCCACTGTCTTCTCAGAAGTCACGGACAACATGCGGATTGCCAAAGAGGAGGTACGGGGGTTGGGGGGGTGTCGAGGCTGCAGCCTGCGGGGCCTTTCAAACAGGAGTCCTTCCCTAGGACCCGGGGATCCCAGAAATCCTTGTGAGCTGAGGGGTTTTTGTCTTTTTCTTTTCTTTTTTTTTTTTTTCTGTGTGGTCTTTCCCCTCTCCTTTGGGGTCCCTGGGGAAGCCGCTTTGTCCCTACCTCTAGGGAATCCCAAGCATGATCCAGCAGGTCCCTTGTTTGTCTTAGCCCTGTTTCCACTCCTGGCTCACCTTCTCTGGGGAGCAAGAAGCCCTCTCTGGTCTTCTGACACACCCCGTCCCTAAGTCAGTCATGCAGCCAGGGTGGAGAGCTGTCGCCACCTGTGGGCTTTGCCAGGAATCAATTCAGGAACCTGTGGATTCAGGGCCCAAAGCCTCCTTCAGCGCCCCTAGACTGAATTTCAAGTGTTCATTCAAGGAGCATGTCACAGCTGGAATTCTTATTGACATTATCTCCCATGGATGTCTTAGAAATGAGGGAAATTTAGGAGACTCCCCCGCTGATAAGAGTGTATATCTTTGTCTTTCAACCTCACTGTTACACTACACTAAATAGGAACTGGTTTTCACACAGCATTTGTAAGAGGAGAGCTGGGTCCCGGGACGTTAGACCCTGCTCGTAGTCTTTTTGGGCACATAAAAGGATGAGCCCTTGCCAAGGGCTTCCTGGGGCAGGTATTTCAGAGACATCCTCCTTAAGATTTTTTTTTTTTTTTTTGAGACTGGGTCTTGCTGTATTGCCCAGGCTGGAGTGCAGTGGCTATTCACAGGCACGATCCCACTACTGATCAGCATGGGAGTTTTGACCTACTCTGTTTCTGACCTGGGCTGGTTCACCCCTCCTTAGGCAACCTGGTGGTCCCCCGCTCCCGGGAGGTCACCATATTGATGCCAAACTTAGTGTGGACACCCAATTGGCATAGCACACTACAGCCCAGAACTTTTGGACTCAAGCGATCCTCCAGCCTCAGCCTCCCGAGTAGCTGGGACTACAGGCACACATCACCATGCCTGGCTCCTTCTTGAGATTTTTCTGTGCCATGATGGCATGAAGCTCAGCTCCTTAAACGTCCCTGTGATGAGAGGTCCTGGGGAACCCAGGGAAGGTATTTTGGCAGGCCGGGCACCATCCTGCCAGCTTATAATTATGTCTAATATTGAATCAACTACAAACTCCCTTCAAAATCACCTTTAAATGTTCAAGCCTTAGTTCTTCCATTTCCTTTTCTTTGTTATGTTACAGCTGTGATGAAACATAGTTTCAAAAAAAGTACTTTACTAACTACCAAGGGGAAAGAATGTTGCAGGGTGTCTCCCCTGGTAGAAAACACAGCTCTCAAGAGTGGGGGCACAGTCTTACAAAGTGCCTGTCAAGATCCTTCAAGAAATTCTCAAAAAAGTTATTGAAAGCTTTGGTTTTCTGTGCCTCTCAGATGTATGGGTTACTCCAAGCCTCTCTGGCTGGGTGTCTCAGAAACGCTGATGACAAGACATGTTAAACACAACATATATTTTTGTTATTATTTTTTATTTTTGTTTCATTTTAATCCTTCTCTTCAGTCTTCAACGGTAATGCAGCTTCTTCTCTAATCATCATTTGTCATCCACGTGTGTGCTCTGGGTGCACGAAAATCATGTAAAGAGAAGGGAATGCATGCTCACGGCACATTTCCATTCAGTCTAAGCTCTCATCACCATTCTTGCAATTAATCACAGATTTTCGGGCCAGTGCAACCAATACTGAAGTTCAGAAGTATCGAAGAAGTGATACAAAGAGCAAATAGCACTGACTATGGACTCACAGCAGCCGTGTTCACAAAGAACCTTGACAAAGCCCTGACGCTGGCTTCTGCCTTAGAGTCTGGAACAGTCTGGTGAGTTGACAGTGTGTGTATTTCAGCTCTGCTCAGCCGCTTCTTGCTCAGTTTCTTGTTCTTCTATTAACTGAGAGTTTCGCATTGTTTGCACTGTATATTGTGTGCCTAGCATTATCTCAGTGCTTCCTTCCATCCTCAGGACCGCCTTCTGAGGTAGGTGCCATTATGTCTCCATTTCATAGATGACAAAATCGAGGCACAGAGAGATGAAGTGGCTTGCCCGTGTCACTTCAGAGTGCCCGTGCCTGTGACCCCATGCTATACTGCCCTTCCAACCTTATTTTCCGTTCTGATTCTACAAGCAGTTCATGCTTATCTGCAAAATATGGATACTAGTCCCTGCCTCATCAGTGATTCTGCAGATGATGTTTTGTGATCTCCATGTTAAAGATGAAGGAATTGAGACTCAGAGAGGGAAAGCAACAAGCCCAGAATCACATAACTAGGAAGCAGAACTTTGGGGTCAGATATGTCCCATTTTCAAAGCTAATTTCTTATTCCTCCACACCCTGATTTTTCTCTGTCTCTTTTGTTTGTTTGTTTGTTTGTTTGTTTGAGATGGGGTCTCGCTCTGTCGCCCAGGAGGCTGGAGTGCAGTGGCATGCTCTCGGCTCACTGCAACCTCCACATGCCAGGTTTAAGCGATTCTCCTGTCTTAGCCTCCTGAGAAGCTGGGACTATAGGCACTCACCACCACACCTGGCTAATTTTTGTATATTTAGTAGAGACAGTGTTTCACCATTTTGGTCAGGCTGGTCTTAAACTCCTGACCTCAGGTGATCCACCAGCCTCGGCCTCCCAAAGTGCTGGAATTACAGGCATGAGCCACCTCGCCCTGCCCTCTTCTCTTTTTTTCCCCATTCTCATTTCATTCATATTCCAATGAAACTCTCCGTACTTGAGGATTTCCAAATTTTAGTTCCTAATGGGAAGAATGGGAAGGCAAAGGTTGAGAGTACCGTGTGTTTTCATCATGGAAGCTTGGGCAAAGACCGCTTATTAGACAATGCCCTGCATCAGGGGCTCAGTGGCTGCAGTGCCAGGAGCCAGGGGGTCTTTTCAAGGTGACTCTGAGCCTTCTTCCATTCTTTTCTAGGATCAACTGCTACAACGCTCTCTATGCACAGGCTCCATTTGGTGGCTTTAAAATGTCAGGAAATGGCAGAGAACTGTAAGTGTTTCCATCATTCTGAGCCTGTCATGGGCTGAATACAAGATCTGCTAGATATGCAGACAGTGACCCTGGCTCCAATCTGCTGACCCCCACCTCTGCTCTGTCTGCACCAGCTGTGTCACTCTAGGGCTGGTGGGGACCCATCCCTTCCTCTCTCCTGCCCACCACCCCTACACTTCCCATACGCATAGTCAGCCTGCCCACTCCAGGCCTCAGCTTTTGTGTTCGCCAGCACCCATCATGCTGGGGACCTTCAGTGGGCATTTGGCAGAAGCTCCCTGGATGAGGACACAGGCAGAACTGAAAAAGTGTACTTTTTGCCAGATGTGGGGTGTTCTTATTCACACAGCTCCCCACCCACAGCAGGGAAGACAGGCTCTGACTCAGGTAAGGATCCTACCTGCCAGGTCCTTCCTTCTGAGCCTAGCAAGGGCCCTGTCCCAGGAGGCATATAACACCTCCTGTTGGGCCTCTGTGTCCCTCTCAGTATGTGCAAGCCCACTGCAAACCCCTCCACATGTGTGTGTGCAAACCCATGCAAACCCCTCCACATGTGTGTGTGCAAACCCACTGCAAACCCCTCCACATGTGTGTGTGCAAACCCATGCAAACCCCTCCACATGTGTGTGTGCAAACCCATGCAAACCCCTCCACATGTGTGTGTGCAAACCCATGCAACCCCCTCCACATGTGTGTGTGCAAACCCATGCAAACCCCTCCACATGTGTTTGCAAACCCATGCAAACCTCTCCACATGTGTGTGTGGAAACCCATGCAAACCCCTCCACATGTGTGTGTGGAAACCCATGCAAACCCCTCCACATGTGTGTGTGCAAACCCATGCAAACCCCTCCACATGTGTGTGTGCAAACCCATGCAAACCCCTCCACATGTGTGTGTGCAAACCCATGCAAACCCCTCCACATGTGTGTGTGCAAACCCATGCAAACCCCTCCACATGTGTGTGTGGAAACCCATGCAAACCCCTCCACATGTGTGTGTGGAAACCCATGCAAACCCCTCCACATGTGTGTGTGCAAACCCATGCAAACCCCTCCACATGTGTGTGTGCAAACCCATGCAAACCCCTCCACATGTGTGTGTGCAAACCCATGCAAACCCCTCCACATGTGTGTGTGCAAACCCATGCAACCCCCTCCACATGTGTGTGTGGAAACCCATGCAAACCCCTCCACATGTGTGTGCAAACCCATGCAAACCCTCCACATGTATGTGTGCAAACCCATGCAAACCCCCCACGTGTGTGTGCAAACCCATGCAAACCCTCCACATGTGTGTGTGCAAACCCATGCAAACCCTCCACATGTGTATGCAAACCCATGCAAACCCTCCACATGTGTGTGTGTGCAAACCCATGCAAAGCCCTCTGCACTTCCTCTGTTGTCCTGCCTGCTGGGAAAATGAGTTGTCTAGGTTTGGATTAATGGGTGGAACTTGTGTCTGGCCCAGGCCCAGAGCTGGCTAGAGCAGCCCGGCAGTGGAGATGTGTGTTTTCCAGCCGGATGCCGTCTTCTCTCCCCAGCTCAGGATTTTATTAGCCTATGTGGACAAACATTTTGTAGAATCAGTGTTCCCTAGGAACCATCTGTGACAACACCCCAGGGCTGTTCCTGGGCATCTTTAGGGACACAGACTCTTCCTTTTATTTCACCAGTTTGTCCTGTTTACATACAAATGTGCTCCCTTGTACCTGCTTGCACATCTTCCAGTGGGAACAGACTCAAACACTTCCCCTCGCCTTGGGACTTGGTTGGGTCTTGGTTGGGGCCTTTTTGCGGCTCCCTTTTGAGATTCTTAAAGATGCTGTGAAGTGACGGGCCTGGCTTCCATCCCCGAACAGCTGCTCTTGACCAGTCTATGTGGAATTGGGGTCCTATCCCCCTCCCACCTCAGTCCCACTTTGTAGTCCATCCCTGACTCTCTGCACATGTGAGTAGAGCCTGCCCATTGGCCTCCCCCTTATCCCTATGGCTGGCTTTCCCTTCAGGGGATGTCAGTAAATTCTTGGCCATGAAGACACTGCAGAGATTGCATTTCCTCCCTCTACTGGCCCATTTGTATCTGAGTTCTGTGAGCCCCTGCTTCACTCTTACACCTGCCTGCCCTCCAGGGACAGGCAGCCAGGGCTGGGGTCACCAGGGTCCCCTCTCGGGCCCTCCGATAGCAGTCGTGCTGGCGGCAGGCTCTGGTGAGCTCCCTGTGCCTGTTCCTTCATACTCTCCTCATGCCCATCCTTGAGATGGATACAGGTGTTTTGGGATGAGACAATGGCACAGGAGGCTGGTAAGTGACAGTGAGATATGAATGGGGGCAGCTTAGTCCTTGGACCTACCGCAGTGCAGGACCTTGCTCAACAGGGGTCACCCGTGTCCGCCACCTGTTTGTGAAGCCAGCCAGGGCTTGCGTGGTCATTGTCTCCTTTCATCTGCTGCCTTCAACCAGCTGGGTCATTAGGGCGGGGGAACCCAGACCCCCCACAGTCCTCCTCCCACAGGCCAGACACAGCCTTGTCCCTCAGCAAGAACTCCAGTCCCCGGAGCAAACGTCCCTGGGCATAGAAGCCACAGGATCCCCAGTCCCTGGTGTGTACTGCTTTGCACTGGTGATTCGCCGTCACTGCAGCCTCCCCTGTCGCTACCCTAACGGTGCTTTCTGCTCCTTAACACCCCCTCGCTGGCGCAGAGCTGGGCTGGGTGAGGACTCACCGAACACTGTCTGTGTTTCCTCCTGCCGGTTAGCCACCATCGGGACTTTTTTGAATGTCTGTTTTTTAGATCCTTGGCATATATTTTCTCAAGGCTTTTGATAAAATATTTAAAAATAATTCACAAGGAGCCTAGAAACTGCCTGGAAAACCAATTTCTGTTTTCAGTTGTCTCCGATGAATGTCTTCAGTGTTGCAAGAAGTTCCCCTTTTTTAATGCTGAAGCATCCTGTGGGGGATTCCACGGTTTTCCCCATCCCCGGCCACCTGGGCTGGGCTGGCTCCTGGCCGCCCACCCACAAGCCCCTCCAGGAGCTGTTTCTGTGCGGGTCTCAGGACGGAGCCTTCCATTCCCCTTCCTCCTAGGCGCCTTTCTCCTTAATAAAAATGATACCATAACCAAAAAATCTATGCAATAGAGATATGGAAAGTCAAGGCTTCCCTTTCTGCCCCTCAGTCCCACTTGTTAGAGATAAATATTGTTCAGTCATTCATTTGCTCATTGGTTCTTTTGTTCACTTGGCAAATATTTCCTGAGCATCTTTTGATTCACCAGGCATGATGGGAGTCTCTGAGTGTATAGCAGTGAACAACAGTCCCCAGGCCCTGTGCCTCCTGACATTCTGTGAGGTTTAATAGGAGTAAGCCTGGGCTCATGGATAGCTTTGAACTCCAAGGTGGATGAGACTGGGTGAGAATCCATTTAGAAGCACCACTGGGTTGAATAAAAGCAGCAAGAATTTAAACCAGGACAGTAACTTAAGAAATAGAAAGAATGAGAGGATCTATGTATTTATTCTTAAAGGAATGATTTAATACTTCTGCATGTGTTAGTTATGTGTTAATTTAATCTTATCACTTTGCTTTTCTTTACTAACTTGAGAAATCATTATTGGCTTTGAATTTTTACAACACAACACTATAGACTCATTTTTTAAAGTGTATTGTGCATTTTCTATGCATACAATGGATTTATATATGCGTGTTCTCTTCTGTTTTCAAATGAAATGGGAGCAAGCTACATGTTGGTCTTGAGACTGGGTTCATTCTTTTTATTGATGTCTCCTATGAGGAACTTTTGTGTACTTCCAAGGGGTTTTGCTATTACAAACCATGCTGGTGTACTTCCTTGGGTATGCATCTTTATGCACTGTGGGAGATTGTTTTCAGAATAAATGCCTAAAATCGTTTTCAGAATAAATGCCTAAAATTGAGTAATGTGCCACATGAAAAAATGGGCTCACCACTGTTCTGGCTGCATTTCTTTAATCATGATGGGGTTGAGCACTGTTTCCACACTTATTAGTAATTTGTATTTCTTTTTCTGCAAACTGACTATTCCTGTCCTTTGTTGATTTTTCCATTTGATGGTTTGTGGTTTTCTTGTTGGTTTGCAATCGTTCTTTGTATATTAAGGAAAATCGCACTCTGATTTTCCCAGTGCTCTAAATTTTTTTGTCTAGTTTGTCATTTGGGAGTTTTTGATGGAGTCTCTGCTCTACATAAGTAGAATCTACCATTCTGTTTATGGCTTTTATATTTTGGGTAATATTTAGAAAAGATTATAAAATAATTCACTCATTTTAATGGGTTCTGAAATGATTTGTTTTAGGAAATTACCTAAAAATCTCCATGGCACCTGCCATTCATTTTCTGTCTAACACATCGTAGGTGCTCTATATGATTATCTGTATTGTTATAATTACAAGGAGGTGTTGGTATGCCCATTTGATAGTTGATGAAGTTGAGGGTCAGGGAAGGCAAAGGACTTTGCCCCACCGTAGAGTTTCCGATTCTGTAAGGATATTATTAGTTTTTATTACTCCTACAAGAAGTTACTGTAACATCAGTGGCTTAAATTACATAAATCTATTATCTTACAGTTCTGTAGGATAAAAATCTGAGACAGGTCTCCCTGAGCTAAAATCAAGGGCTGTCTTCCTTTCTGAGGGTTCTCAGGAGATAATCTGCTTCCTTGCCTTTTCCAGCCTCTAGAGGCTGCCCACATTCCTCGGCTGGTGGCCTATCCTCCATCTTCAAAGCCAGCAGTGATGCATCTCTGAAACTGTCTCTGTAATCTCATTTCACTCTGCCTTTCTTCTGCCAGTTTTAGGGACCCCTGTGATTACACTGGGTCTACCTGGATGATCCAGGATAGTCTCCCTGTTTTAAGGTCAACTGATCAGTTGCAAAATTAGTTCTTCACCATGTAGCCTAACATATTCACAGGTTCAGGGGATTCTATTGTGGATACCTTGGGGAAATTCTAATTCTGCCTACCATAGTAGAGCTGGGCTAGGCCTGAGAATCTGCATCTCTAGCAAGTGGTCATCAGCCTGAGGTGAGGCTCGTCATCAGAGGTGAGGCTGATGCTGCTGGTCTGGAGACCACACTTTGAGAACCATCGGTCTAAGGGAGGAGATGGGATCCTGTCACAGGTCTTTTTAAGCACCGAGACTCCAGCAGCCACGTCTACCTTCATTTCTCCCTAAATAAGCACAGTTTTCTTCACCTGACAGCAGATCAAGTGCTTAGAGAGATTTAAATCTCTCCAGTGCTGCCTCTCGGCTCTTGGAAGGGAAGCTACCCTGAAGATGGCCCATGGTGCCAGGGAAGGGTCACCTGAGCCCCGCAAGATTTAAAGAAAGAAAATACACCATGGATGTGAACTCGAAGGCTGTGGCTTCCCGTGTCTAGTCTGTGCTAATGTCCCTTGCACCCCCCAGGCTGGCCACCCTGTCTGACAGCTGGCCCCTGGCTGCGCACTCTGAGGCCAACCTCAGACCCTTGGTGTTCTTACCTCAGGTTCTCCCGCAGCATCCCCAGCCAATAGCCTTGGGCCTCTGCCTCTTCTGCCTCCTCTTCAAGCAGCTCCCAATTTCCATCTAAAGTTATCAACCCCGTGTAATTTCTGCTCCTCCCTTGCTCACACCCAACCCTACATACATCAGGCCCTCTCTTTGCGCTCTATCTCCACCCCAGGGAATTCACCTCTTGATTTTTTCTTAACCCCTTCATTCTCCAAAGGTAAACCCCTAGTCCTGGCTATTTCAAAAGCATCACACACAAAAAAACCTTGATGTTTACATTTAAGTCACATATGCAGGTACTAGCCCTTACGGTGGTATTACAGTCCTGGCTATTATTCCATGAAGTCATCACATTTTGGCCTTTTCCATAAACCTCCAATGGCCTGACGGAATGAGGAAGCATCAGAACGGTTTCTACAAAACGGCTAAGGAACATGCCTATTTTGAATTTTCCTTTTTTTCTATGATCACAGAGGTGAATATGCCTTGGCCGAATACACAGAAGTGAAAACTGTCACCATCAAACTTGGCAACAAGAACCCCTGAAGGAAAGGCGGGGCTCCTTCCTCAAACATCGGACAGCAGAATGTGGCAGATGAAATGTGCTGGAGAAAAAATGAGATTTCTGACTTTCCCAGGACACTTTCTTCTGGAGGCTTTATGTCTACTGGAGTTGAATATTGCTGTTTTCCTCTCACTCGCGTGTTCGTTGACCAAACTGGGGATGCCCTTATGTTGTGTGTGAAATCGCAGTCCCGCCTGAGGAGGGAGCTGTTGACCATTTCTGTTTTTAACCTTAAGCCCAGATCCCAGAGACAGTGAGAAACTCAGGGCGTTGTTAACAGGGAGTGGTATTTGAAGTGCCAGCAGTTGCTTAAAATGCTTCGGCAAATCTAACTCCAGTAAGAGTGTGGGAAAAACGCCCTGCGTGTTCTGAAAGCAGGGCTGTTGCACCTGTGGTCTCCTCAGGGTGGACCCGCTCAAAGAGCAAGCCACACCTCTTTCCGAGGGAAAGGTGGGACCATCCTATGGGAAAGGATTCACACTAAGTTTGTTTGTGTGTGTGTGGTTTTTTTTTTTTTTTTTGGATTTCACAGTGGGAAACTTTTGGGAAATGCATACCATGGAAGGGTGCCAGAGGCTTTGGGCATGCACGGTGTGGGTCTTTGTGGACCTCGACCGTGAGCTGCAGCTTCAAAGTAATACAGCCTTTGGAATATGACAGGATCAGTGGCCCAGAGAGCTTAGTCAAAACGATATCATGGTCTACCTTAACCAAGGCACTTTCTTAAGCAGAAAATATTGTTCATATTACCTTTGCTGCTAAAGATTCAATCTTTTAACACCACAACAGCATAGCAAATCCTAGGATGGTTAACCACCCCCTCATTTGACAAATCAGAGTTGTAATTCGCTTTAACAAATGATGCATTTTTATCATATTGACTAATGGTTTATGAGAAGTCTATGTAATTTCCCTTTGCTCTAGTCCTGTCATCCACTGTACATTGGTGAAGCATACACAACTGGAAAGACTGCTGTGATAACACAGCCTTGTTATTTTTAAGTCCTATTTTGACATTAATTTCTGATTAGTTAGTAAATAACGCCTGGATTCCATGGAGGACCTGGGTCTTTATCCAAGTGGCCTGAGGATTTCACTGGCAGGTTGTGAATTTTTCCTCTTCAGGTGACGTGCAATTTCATGTTTTTACTTGGGAAACCGAATGTGTTCCCGTATAGCTTTAAAAACAAAAACACAAACGTATTATTCAGATACTTTTATGGTTACTAACTAGTACTTTTCTAATTGGAAAAGTGGTGCTTGAGTTTGCAAACTAAGTTGGAGAGGGCAATGATATAATGAAGCCCCGTAGCGGAGCCAGTGTGTGTGTAAGGAAAACCATGAACAAAATGGGATATGAATCACCGCATTTACCTTCTCTTTATCAGTGAACACTTATCACTTACACTACCAATAACTTGTTCAATCAGGATTTGACTTCATACACTGAATTTTCAGTATTTAATCTCAAGTAGCTATAGACACTAACCTTGATAGCAATACGTTAGAGGGTTCCTATTCTTTCATTGTACAATAATGTCTTTAATATGAAATGCTACATTATTTATAATTGGTATAGTTAATGTATCTTTTTATAGTTGTAAGTACACAGAGGTGGTATATTTAACCTTCTGTAATATACTGTATTTAGAAATGAAAATCTATATAGTGTTAGGTTTCCCTTCTTTTAAGGTTTACCCCTGTGGTGTGGTTTAAAAATCTATGGGCCTGGGAACTCTGATCCTAAGTGCAGACCGTGTTCTACAATGTGAGAATGAATAAAATTGAGTATTTGCGGAACAGTATGCTTTTCATTTAAAGACCAAACTCATTTCAATTCTATGGCAGCCCTTTCTCTTTCTGAGACCTGTAAACGACGGATAATAAAGCAGGATCAATAATGTAAGCACGAAATGACATTTGCTCAGTCAGGCCCAGTGCTTTGCCTGAGTGGGCTTGGGGGTTGACCAGGCAAGGAGCTGGGCCTCGGAGGTCCCTGTCGTGGCTGGCTGAGCCTCCCTTTATCATAAAGCGGTGAGGACGTCAGTGTGGGAAATGGTGGGGAGGACTGCATGAGGATTAAGGGACAGCATTGTGCCCCTGATGGTGAGCACAAGTGTCTGTTTTTGTCACTTTTTCTTCTGAGGATCTAGAGAAAGGATCTATTTGGGTTTAACCTAAAGTTTGTTTTTTGTTTTTTTTTTAATTTTTTAGCCATGTTGGTAAAAAAATTCAGTACATGGGTAAGACCCAGGCCCCTTCCAGTTATATCCAGGTATGCTACAAGTTATTTTAGCTCTTAGCAAAAGTTATCATTATTGTTTCCTTAGGGAGGCTACCAGGCTAAATTAACTGAATTTGTCTAATGTCCTCATTATCTTATCCTGAAGTTGATGTCATTTCTCAGGACTTGAAAATGACTTTAGGTTAAACCTAAAGTCTACTTGGGTTTAACCTAAAGTTTCTAAAGCTTCTTACCAAGAAGCCTCAATCACCACGTTGTGCGCTGCTGCTGATGTTGTGGATCAAGATCATTGCTCATACTGGGGTAGGTCCTCCAAGCTCGACCTGTGCATTTGATGTGGAAAGCCCAGGTCACTTTGACCATGGGTGGCAAAGCACCACCCCTTTAAGAAAAAACTTAAGGCAGGCTGGGATCATACCTCTCATCACATACACGCTTAGGTTAAGAGAATGTAGACACATGATTTAGAGACATCCCATTTCTCAATCCAAATGTGAGCAGAAAACTATAGGAGAGTGACAATTTCCCCCATTTTGGTGTCCTGGAACATGTCCCCAGCCATTCTGGGGACAATCGGAGGGTGCAGTATGCGTGTGCAGGTGCTTGTTCACATGTGTTTGCACACATACATTTGTGTGCCCTGGTGTGCATGTGTGGGTTGGCACATGCTCTACAGGTGGGCCCTTTGGGATGTCCTGGCTTCTCCTGCTGGTGGAGGAAGCCTTTCTAATGTCTTTTGCTCCCTGCTCCTGGGCCTGAGCTTGAAGGGGGATGACGAAGGGCGTTTGGGAAGCTGCCCAAGGACGACTGTCTGAGGAAACTGCCTACTGGGCTGAAGAAACACAACTAGAAAACTCCTCCTGAGGAGAAGCTCTCAGCCACTGTGCCTTCAAAAAGACAGAAAAGTCAGTTCAGGGAGGGGGCTTCCAGCTGACCCCACCCACCTTAGGGGGGGGTCATTCCAGCCTGGGGTGCTGAGAACCCGGGTGGGATTACCAGCAAAAGCTAGAGAATTACGGGTCCGCGAGCCTTAGGAAGAAGTGGAAAGGCACCTTAACAGATCTGCAGTAACCTTCCTATGGAAGCTGTGGCTGATGCATGCCTCCTGGCTAGAATTAAATGCTGGGGATATAACGAGCTCAATACAGGTCATCTGTGTCAAATGTTAACTACGTACAATTTGCACGTTCTCCGTCACCTGGATTTTACTAATTCAATTATGGGTGGATGCAAAGATTTTGCTGATTGGTGAATCCTTCTCGTCAGCTTTGGGGAGAATACATAAAACAAGGAATGCTGGCGATGTATCTTCCTAGCCTATTCCCAAGCTCATTTTGAAGGGAAGCGGAGGCGCCCTGTCTGCATCGGCCGCGTTCCCCCTAGCGTCTGCCCGGGCCTTGGGCCTGCGCTCCCTCGCGGTGGCTCCAGGTGGCCGGCTGCGCGCCCTGGAGGAGCTGCGCCGCCGTCGCGGGGCCCACTCAGACCCGAGGACGCCACGCCCTGCAATTATTGGGAGCTTATCGGTAGCAATCACACGCGGGCTCCCGCAAACTGGTGTGAGGCCCTCCGGGGTGAGCACAGGATGGCAGAACTGCGCTCACCCTTTGGGAAGATCGCCCAGTGGCAGGAGTAGCCTGCTGGGAGCAGAGCAAAGCTGCTCAGTGGTCCCCTCGCCAAACAGGGACCCAAGGGGCCGCTCGAGGAAACGGCCCCGCGGTGTTCGGGAGGTGGTGTGGGGGCTCTGCAGCTGCCCGGGTGCTGTGACTTGGCAGTGAGGGTTGGGGAGATTGGAACTAAATCCTGGGAATATGCGAGTCATAACATTCCAGGAGACGCGTCTACAGGGCGCCGGTCCTGGAGGGCGGGGAACCCTCTGCTTTTCCCGAGCAGGCCATTTTCCTGGGTGGACACGTGGAGTTCACGGGGAGGCCCACCTACAGCGTGGACGCCGATCTTTATTGTCTGCGTTCCGGGATTAGCCCCAGCAGCCTGACGCCTCCTTCAGAATAGGTTGAAACACGATACATCGCCAACTTTTCCAGTTTTATGTATTCCCCCCAAAGCCGACAATTAAACGTGATTCACCAAACCGCAAAATCTTTGCATCCATCCATAATTGAATTAGTAAAATCCACGTAATGGAGGTTGTGTAAATTGCAAATCGTTAACGCTTTAGAACTGTGTTCTATATTGCCTTGTAAAGGGCGGCACACAAATGAATATTCCCTGTCTTTTTTATTTCTACGGCCAGAGTCTACGGGCCCCATGCAAGTGAGGGGCTGTTCTGCCGAGGTGGCTGCCGCTAGAGCAGAGGATAGTGAAAGCGGGGCTGAGCGCCGCACCGACCAATCTCCTCGCCGCGCTTGCCCCTCGTGGAAGGAGCCGGGTGCCCGAACCTGGTACTAGAAGGGCCCGCGGGCCCCGGCGTCTCCCGGGACACCAGCAGTGGGGGTGATAGCCTGCGTTGTATGGCTAGGGAAACTGAGGCGGCCACCGAGGGGACGCCTCGCGCCCATTCTGGGGAGAGCCGGCGGCGGCCTTGCCTTGCGCGCTCCTCGCACCGCCCGCCCTCCCCGCCCGCCGGCCTCAGGATTGAGGAAGTGCGTCTGGGCCCGGCCCCGGCGCGCGGCCCGAGGCGCGGGGGGCAGACGGCGGTGGGAGTGCCAAGCCCGGCCCCGAGTCCCGGAGCGCCCGCACCCCGGCCCCGCAGCCGCCGCAGGTAAGTGCTGCTCCTGCCTGCGCCCCCGCCACCCCGGGGGCCTGGCTGCCTCCTGCGGCCGGGCCAGGAACCCAGCTGGGCCCGCGCCACGCGTCCGCGGGAAGCCCTGGCCTCTGCCTGCCCGCGGGCCTGAGCTCCAGGCGGCCGCGTGGTCCGGCAGGGGTGGCCCTTGCTCAGGGGCCGCAGCCCGAGGGGCGCGGAGGGCGTGGGGCGACCCCCGTCTGACGCCCCTGCTGCCTCCCGCCACGCCCGGAGCCCAGGCAGCCTGTGGGAGGCGGGTCTGCGGGGCCGGAGCCGTGAGCCCCCAAACCCTGTACCGGACGGGGTCGGGAACGCAGGGAAGCAGAGGCAAGAAACAAGTAGGGAAATACACCAGGGCGTCCATATGTTTCCTCTGCCTTTGGAGCAAACCCCGTCCTTATCGAGGAGCTGCTGGAGTGTAAGCGCCCGGGTGTGCATGTGCCAGGGTGTTGGCAAGAGACTCCCCAGGAGTCTCTCGCTGCTCCGGGGCGTCCTTGTGCTGCGGAGTGGCGCAGCGAGGCTTCAGCCTCCTTGGTTGATATTCTCTGGCTGATAGCGTTACCATTGCTATGTCTACCATGGTCTCCGCAGCCTACAGCGGACCCTCCAGGCAGGCAGGGACGCAGGGGAGGAAGCCTAGGAAGGCCGGGGTCAGCGGGAGATGATGGTGGAGAATTTGAGGACCGCTGTGGCCATCTCAGCCTACCCCTTCACAGTTTGAGGCCACGAAGTTTTTCTCCCACAAACACATCCCCTGCAACAGGTAGAGAAACAGGGGCACTCAGCTTTTAGCAAACCCTTTCACTGCCTACACTCATTTTAGAGTTTGCCACTCACTCACAGAGTATCAGAACGCCCAGACGTTAAAGAGACAGCAAGAATATGCACAATTTTGGAAAACGTTAACATTAAATGCCTCTTATGACCTGATTTTCTTCATCTTTGCCTATGCCCTGCAAGCAAAAATAACAACAAACTAACCTCACACCTAATTTGTTCCTAAAGGAGGTTTTGTGGTCAGCCAAAATGTCAATGTCTCCCAAATGTCAATGTCTCTGGGAGTGGCCTCACAGTCAACTCAGGTGCTCAGATCAAAAACATTCCGTCCATTGGATCCACCTCTAAAATGTGTCCTGGTCTTTCTCCTTTTTCCTTTTTTTTTTTTTTTTTTTTTTTTGAGAAAATCTCACTCTGTCACCAGGCTGGAGTGCAGTGGCACGATCCCTGCAACTGTCTGCCTCCCGGGGTTCAAGCAATTCTCCTGTCTCAGCCTCCCGAGTAGCTGAGACTATAGATGTGTGCCACCATGCCCAGCTAAATTTTGTGTTTTTAGTAGAGATGCATTTTCACCATGTTGGCCAGGATGGTCTCAATCTCTTGACCTTATGATCTGCCCACCTCAGCCTCCCAAAGTGCTGGGATTGCAGGCATGAGCCACCACACCTGGCTCGTCCCCTAAAAAAGGGGGCGGCCTGCCCCCCGCCCCTTCTCCAGAGTACCAGCATCTCTTTCTTGTAGGATTACAGTTCCCCCTCCCCACATAAACGCGAGTGTGTGTGTGTGTGTGTGTTTAAATGGGTAAATCAGACCATATCAGTCCTCTTTATGGAATCCTTCAGTAGCTTTTCCTTGCAATTGGCGTGCAATCCAGGAGACCTCCTTCTGCTCACAGCCCCAGCTGTTCCAGCCTCTGCTTTCTCAGACCACCAGGCCATTGCCCCCAGCCACCCTGGCTGAGCTCGCTGTCTAGCACTGGAATCTGTGTTGCTGCCTCCCAACTCTTCACACGGCCTCAGGAAGCCTTCCATGGTCACG